GGTAATGGAGGAGGTATGGTTAGAGTTGTATATAAAGAAATGGAACAAAGAGCTTTATTAAGAGGAATGCGTGCTGCAATACAAGATCTGGCATTTGCACATGTTTCAAATGCAATTTTAGCATGCGTTGATTATTTGGGAAATCTTTTCATACATACCATTGAATCAACACCATCTGAATTGTTATGTAGTTTATTACTACAAGTAAATGCAGAAGATATATCTCCTACCAGTCATCGTGTGATATGGTGTCCATATATTCCAGAAGATGTACCATCAGATGGAGATAGAGTTTCAAAGCTTTTAGTTCTAACTCGGGGTTCCAAAGTAGAGTTGTGGTCAGTTAATACTGTTTCAGCAAGATTCAGATCAATAGAGGTGAATGTGTACCTTACTTACAGATTATAAAATCCATACAAAATGAACAAAGTATCCAACTGTTTGACTAAATGATAGGCAACTGATCCAGCTGTAAAGGAAAATGGAGGCATGTTGGAAATTGATCAACATTCTGATACAATCATAGAAGCAACATTCAGTCCAGATGGTACAGCTTTAGCTACGGCTAGTTTTGATGGAGAAGTAAAATTCTTTCAAGTTTATTTACCTAGTAATTCTCATGGTAATCAAGCACAACCACGTTGTTTACATCAATGGAGACCACATGGTGGACGACCTATTTCTTGCTTGTTCTTCCTAGATGATCATAAAACATATCATCCAGAGTAAGTAATTCTTAAAAAAATATTATTGAATTTAATGTATTATTTGCAAAATAATCATTATAATTATATTTTATTTTTTAGAGTCCAGTTTTGGAGATTTGCTATAACTGGATGTGATAATAACACAGAATTGAAAGTTTGGTCTTGTGAAGTATGGTCATGCTTACAAACTATTAAATTCGCACCCACGCCTTCTACTGGTAAATTACCGGTGTTAAAAGCAGGCTTAGATCTTAGTGCAGGATATCTTTTATTATCAGATATCTACAATAAAGTTCTATATATATTAAGTCTTATAAAAGATAATGGGGATACATTAACATCAGTAAGTACAATATCAGAATTTCTTCTCCCATATCCAATATTGAGTTTTGGAATTGTCGACGCTGGTCTATGTAAAGTACGTCCCACTGGTGAATCACTCGAAGATTTAAGTCCTTGTGAAGATGATATAGAAGAGCAACTTGTCATCAGGATGTATCTAGTTCAACCAAAATCATTGCAAGAATGTCATATTGCTTTTAAACCTGCCTCACATGTGAGTGGTAACTGCCTCATGGACACACTGACTCATGATTCATTGGGCTTTTCTGAAGACTTACCAGATATGGAAAATGTTAATCACAATGGAATTTCAGGGGAAAATTGTGAAGAAAATTGTTCTTTATCTGCTACAATTGAAGCAACAACGAATCATAACACTGGCTTAAATTTAATGACACCTGATGCATTCAGTTCTCCTGCCAAAAAAGAAAATAATGAATTAGATTCTCGTCCCAGTAGTCCAGAATTAGGTAAAGTCTTATCTGCTAGTCCATCACTTGCACAAGCAGTGCAAGCTTTAAATGCAACAGATCCACCATTAGCTACAAGCGAATTAGAAGAACAAGCACCTGCTAGTAGTGGTAGTAGTCCGTCTAGAGAAGTAAGAGAAATTTTATCCCTTACAAAAGCAAATGAAGAACCAGAAACTGAAAATAAACCAGAAATTACTAATACTGTTGATGAAGATTGGCCTAATATTCCGATGGTATTATTAAAAGATGTAAGCAGACATGCAATGCAGGAAACTGATGGTTTTACAAATGAAGAAGAAAAAGAAAAAAATAAAAGATGAATCGACTATTGCAGAAAATGATGAAACTACTTGGCAAACAACAAGCAAATTGAATACTCTTGAATTAATAAATAAAGTAGAATCAATTTTAGAAGTAATTCAAAATCAACGACAAGAATTAAGAGAATTACGTACCGAAATGACTAGATTAAGACAAGAAACACCAATTTCGACGCGAGTAGAATCTGCTCTAGCAAGAGCTTCACAACAACAAAATGCAACCTTAGAACAAACATTATATAGCCAAATGGCACGTCAACATGAATTTCTTAAGACACTTGAAACAACAATCAAAGATAAAATTGAAACTACTTTACCACGTATTATTGAAGACACAGTAGAACCATTAAAGCATCAACTTAGATTAGATTCTGCTCGAATGGATGAACTCTTAAAGAAGAATTTAACGGATCTCATTAATAGTTCTCATATAAAAGATACACTTGCTGTGGCAGCAGTAAATGCAGCAAAACCAGCATTAGATGCAGCATTTAAAGAAGCCTTTACAAATGTTCTTTTACCTGGAATGGAAAAAGCATGTCAAACGATGTTCAGACAAGTACAAGATGCTTTTATCAGGGGTACTCGTGAATGTAAGATATTCGATATAATTTAAAGAAAATATTATAATATATATGTATATTATATAAAATATTTCTTTTATTTTATAGATCTTCAAAATGTGGATGCAATTGCAGATAAACAATATCAACAACGAAATGAACAACAAAGTGAAGCATTATCTGCTTTAGTTCGTGAAGAATTACAAACAGAATTGAATAGAGGTTTAATTATTCTACAAGAAGGAACGATACGTACAATTCGAGATTCTATTAGAGATAATTTAAATCAACAATTAACAGAAATTACAAATGCACGGTAAATGAAATATAAGTATTACATTAATTTTTATTAAGGAATGATATTAATTTAATGTATATTTATAGCTCTCGAGCTACTACACCTGCTATACCAGTCTCAGCAGTCGCCGATGCTCAAGCACGAGTTATATCTCTTCTTCAAAGAGGACAATTAAATGCTGCTTTTCAACAAGCTCTAAGTGCTAGTGATTTAGGTTTGGTAGTATTAGTTTGTGAAAAAACAGAACCCGCCAGAGTATTTTCTTCTGTGGGACCTCAGGGTCAAGGTACAAGATGTATTTTACAACAACCTGTAATTCTCTCACTTGTACAACAATTATCTGCAGATTTAGGACATCGTACGGAACTTAAACATAGGTAATTTTTCATGAATATATTTTACTATATATTTGAATTTTAATTGATTTTTTATTATCATTTACTAGGTGGCTTGAAGAGGCAATATTAAATTTAGATCCTAACGATCCTGTGACACGAGAACATATGGGTACCGTATTAATGACATTACAAACACAATTAGCTGCTTTTGTTGCAGCAAATCCAAATCATAGTTCTACTCGACGTATGAAAATGTTAGCTATGGCTGCACGTGCACTTTTAAATCAACAACCTTGATGTTATATACATATGGAATAGAAAAAACGCATTGACACGAGATTTTATATGTTTTGTTTAAAAAAATACTTTGATATCATCTGAAAGTAATATTCATATTATCTTCCTGTTTAAGACTGGCAGTAATTTACATAGAATATGAAAAAATATTGTACGAATTTATTATTAGCAGTTAATATAATTTCAAAAAATCTGTTTTTATAATTTAATTTTTCATAAAGTATATACGTTTACAAAATATTGAAAAAAGAGAGAATTTAACAGAAAATTATTTTCTTGATTATAAATACATATTATGTAAGTGTATTATACATAATAAGTAAAAAGCGTGATATAAATAAGAATGTCATTAAAATAATGACATACAACTTAAAGAATTTAAATTATTATTTTATTAATTATCAATAAAAAATTTTATGAATTACTAGTATATTGACTGATATTAAGAAAGTTCTTTTATAATTTGTATGATACACAAAAGAAATTTATTTTTAATTATTATAATTACATTTCTTAAATAATATTTTCCTGTAAAATTAAACTATGTAATGTTCTCACATTTAAAGCGAAATTTTAAAAAATAGAATTTAAATATAATTAACATATATTCTCTTAATTCTCCTAAATGTTGACTTTGTATTAATATATAGATAATGCATTTCATGACATATTGTATGATACACATTAAACTTTTCATATGCACGAAGATCGAAAGTAGCTGTTAAATTTTAATTAGATTTAAATTATAAGCTTTAATGACTCTTTTTGACAAAAAAATTTCATAAATTCTATGTTTAAGAACTATATGTATGGAAATATTTCTGTTCTATCGTTTTATTTTATCTCTATTTCATCCGTATTTTCTTTTACCGAATATACTGCTAAATGTAATGTAATAAACCAAAATATTCTATATTTCTTACTATGAAAAAAATAAACATTTTAAAATGAATAAGTTGTATCTCAAATTTTATAATATATACATTAATAAATGGGGTAGTAACTTTGATATACTTTAATAATTAACATAATAAGCATGTGTATGAATATGTAAACAAAATATTCACAGTTTATAATTCTTCAAAGAATGTAAATAATATATAATTTATATGCATTTATATTTTTCTTGTATTTATATATTTATATACACTAGCTATATATAAAAGTTCCTAGTTTTTCCAAATTTATATTGTGTTCCTTATATAATTAAATAATCAAAAATAGTATATATATATATGATTCTACTTATTTTTTTTCTCTTATTACTTTTATTACGTGTAATTCTTAATATTATTTGCATTTTATAAAAAGTAAAATATTTAAAATTATAAAATATAAAAAAATAATTATATGTATTTACAATAAAAAAATTAAATAATTTAGCAAATTTTAATATTAATATTGTATAAAAATTGTTGAAACAATTTATAATGTATAATATGAGAATTTTTAATTGTAATTTTATTAAGCATAAATAATATAGTTATGTATAATTTTTTATATATTTACTATAAGAATTAGAAATAAAATAATATATTTATATTTATAATTCATATGATGAATTCATAAAACTATTCATAAAACTATGTTGCAATATTATTTTATTTATTTAAATTTTATAAACTAAAAAAGATAAATAAAAAAATAAATGAATAAATTTTAATAATTTATTCATATACAAATTTTTTTGAACAAATATTTATTTTTAATTCATTTTTCTTTTTCTAGTTTATTCTTTATTTCTGCAACTACTGCTTCTTTAATATGTGCTGCTATTTTTATTTTTTTTCTTTTTTTAACTTTACCAGAATTTTTCTCATTGGTATTTTTTAAAATGTTTGTTTGTGTTTTTTTCTTTTTTTTTAAACAACTAAGAGGATTTGGACCTTTCTTTTTCTTTTTTTTAAATTTTACTTCTGTTTTTTCTATTATTCCAGCTGCTTCTTTTAATATTTTAATATTTTCTTTTTCCCTTTCAGTCATTCCTAGTCCTTTACGAATATTTTCAGCATATTTACGGCTAGCTTGTGAAGGTGCTTCCAATGTTGGTGCTTTACCATGCAAATATATTATTGGAACACCTGGAATTTTTCTTAAATTATCCTGAAGATCTCTATCTTGTGTAGCTATAATATATCTAAAAAATATATAATATTGTACATATGTATAAATACATACGTATAATTAACTTTTAATTTTTCCTATAGAAATTTTTATTATACCTAAATGAGTTATTTTTTCCAATCATGGATTGTAAACATTTTGTACCACTAATTGAGTATTTTTCATGTCCACATTTATGTATAGGATATTGTTTAACTATTTGCATAGCACCACTAACTGCTTTTGAAAATGAACTTAATTTTTCTGTTTCCAAAATTATACATGGTGTAGTTAATAATTTTATATCAGATTGAAAATATTTTGATAATTGATCTTGTATATTAAATTATTCTAAAAAAAAATCAGAAATTAAAGATATATATGTACAAATTAATTTTTTATATTATAAATATATAAATAATATATAATATAT